GGCTGGCCTTGTGGAACGGAAAGGGAGAGGGGTAAGGGAGGCCGAGAATGAGCCCCTGCAAAGCCCTCCTCCCAGCACAGAGAGGGGCAGCAAGTCCCAAGACCCCTCGCCCCCCACCTGGGTTCTTTTCACCTGGATGCTCTCGCAGGCCGACCCACCACTTCTCCCCTTCCGCCAGGCAGTGGCTCAGGAGGGCCTGCGTCTCTGGGTTCCAGGGGTGCGCCAGGCGCCCGCCATTGGCCTGGCACCAGGCCTGGGCTCCGCAGAAGCTGTTCCGGAGCCGGACGAACTTGTAGCAGACGTCTCCCATGCATGGTTGGTGCCAGGGGCACCTCAAGGCAGGCCCAGCTTGGGTAACGCTTGCCAAACAGAACCAAAGACACATCCCTGATGGTAGTCGCATGGTGCCGGTGGCTCCGGCTGCCCGTCCTGCCCTTTATACAAGCCCGGTGCTTTTGTCCCAGGTCCAAGCCGAGTACTGAAACAAACCCGCCCAGCTCGGGTTCCCACCCCGGGGCTGCCGAGCAAACAGAGAGAGGCGAGTGCGTCCCACCTGCCTGCCCAGGCAGGGCCATCGAGACCGGGGGCTGTTTGCAGAGAAGGGTGAGGCGATTGCTGGGCCCCGGCATGGCTGTGGACACAAAGGAGAGCGGAGGATGCACTGTCCCCATGCAGGGCACAGGGAGCTGAACACCTGCTGGGGCTGGACTGGCAGCCTGCCCTTGGCGAGGGAACCCGCAGGGTGGCGGGGAGGAGGATGGGCCCAGTGTTTCTATGTTGTGATGTGAGATTCACACACAGGGACATGGGGCCCACTCTGGCTGACCCCCTGCGTGACAGGGGCTGCGCCCCCAAGTCCCCAGGATGCCAGCACTGAGCCTCGCCTGGGGCTGAGCTGGAAGCATCTCATCTAGAAAGACACAGCCTTGATTTAGGACCCCAATGAGGTCTTTGCAACGAGAATCGGGGAGCCCCACACTGGGCTGGGGCTGGGGGAGCTGGGCCTGCTGCCTGCCCAGCTTGGGGTGAGGGAGAACTGGAACTAGGGCTTGGCTGGGGATCCCT